AAAATTTTGATTAAAGGCCTCATGTCAAAAACTTCATAATTTGCGTGTTATGCCTATAGAAGGTGAATTTAGTTCACGTTATGAATCTACATGATATTGTTTTTTAAGAATTTGTAAGCAGTATGTCGCTTATTTTTGCTCTATTTTGTCTCAAATTTTAGTTGACCAGCCCACCTATACTTGTTCCAAACAAGTATTATATGTCTAGTTTGATTTGTGTCTAGTAAGACTTTCACTTTTCACCAAGATGAATTCAAAATGGTGGGTGTGGTGTTAGTTGAGCCGATGTGTGTGTGGTTAGTTGAGCCAGTATTTGCAAGTGTGTTTGAGTATGTGTATGTATGTTTGTGTGAAATTATGCGTTGTGTCACTTGCGTGTGTGTGTGTATGTTTGCAAATTGGTGTATTTATTTTATTCAATTCTATGTTTTTGGAATTACACTTTTGGAGGAATAAAACAAAATTACTAAAAAATATTTAAAAAGTGTCACAAACATGGATTTATGCCATTGATCTACATGCATGGCTCAACTATCCTGACACCCTTGCTCAACTAACCTGCCTGTTGGTGTTAATTGAGCCACTTGACCACTGTTTTAAAATCTCCCCTGGCTCTAAAATCACAAGTGTTTTTTTTCGTAATATACAGCTAATATGCATAACATACTGCTCTTTCAATCCCACCCCCAAACAGCCTTAACCCTAATAAGGCCGGGGGGGGGGGGCATTATGCCCCCTCCATTGTTCGGGAACGCATATGGATGGCGCCCTGCTCTTTCGAGTCTTGCGCATCTTTTAAAAGATTTTTTTTTGAAAATCGGACCTACAGTTACAAAATCACGAGACCTTTTGTCTTTGCATGTCAGCCCGAAAATCGCTCATTTTCGTAATTTGTGTACAAAACATATGGAAATGTAATTTTTCCTAAAAATAGATAAAACATTGGTTATTGGGTCTTGTTTAAAGTTTAGGTGGTTGTTTTGGGGGTCAAAATAGTTGAATTGTATTTAGAAATGAATTAAAACAACAAAAACAATAAAATACAGAAGTTAAAAAATCATCGTAATACATAGAAATTATCCAAACAAGAGATAACATAAGGAATAAGCTGGCTCTTCCAAATTTGTTGTCGTATTATTATTCCAAATGGTCTAATGAATATATGTAGTGAAAAAGAATGCTTAAATATGAATAATATATGATTTATGGGTAAAAATGTGATTTATGACCATATTTGCATAAATTACCATAAATATGTGAATGAGTGATTCAAAAAAATTAAATTATCATAGTGTTCTATACACTTCACTTGGCATGCGTGCAAATTTTCGGGAAAATCGGCCGTTTCACGGCCGAGGTCTTGAGGGTGGGTGGGGGGGGGGGGGCATAATGCCCCCCGGCCGTACTAAGACTTCAAATAGCCCGGCCTTTTTAGGGTTAAAAAACATTACCCAAGGGCACCAGGTGACCTTGAGTAAAAAGTGGCTCAACTAACCTGAGTCTCCCCTATTCCCCCTAGTATTAATCATGGAAAATGTATTTTATGTTTCACATTTTTCAGTGCAATACTAACCAGCTAAGTATTTACAAAATATTTAACATTTTTTTATTGAGTTGGCCAATTTATTTAATTCATCGATGGTTTCTTTTTTTCGCATGTCGTGTGCTTACTGCTTAAGTAGGAGCAAGGGCTGTAACTGTCGGTACTCCATGATCAAAGCCACTAGCGAAATGTTGTGCCTAAATGTTTGATGATTCAAGAACATTGCTCACCATCAGGCATCAACCCTTGCGCATTTCATCAGTTAAATGATGTAAGTAAAGTTTAGAGTAAAGCATCTTGAAATGAATGGTATTCTGATCAGACTCAAGTCGTTTGAGGTTGATTATAATAACATATATATCTCTATGCTTTTATGTTAGCTTAAAGGGATAGTTGAGTTCTGTTGCAGAGGGCGATACACAAAATATTTTTTTTGGTGAGATAAAGAAAAAGTGAGTGTCGAATTTGAAAGAACATAAAATTTAAATGACAAAATCGGTTTGGAGACGGCTGAAATATCCATAAATATAACGTTTTCTAATACTAATACTAACGAAACAGCGCCTTTTACGTCGTATTTCAGACAATGCCGATGTTGGCTTTTTTTGTTAGCATTTTCGTGTTGTTTATATTACGCACAACCAGCCGGCCCATATATTGTTGTTTTTAATTAAATAATTAATTAACGGTCAACATATTTTTTTGAAAGTGGAGCTGAATTGGTATGATCGTATTAGCTAAATTTCAAACATTTTGCTCAATTGCTCAGATTGCTCAAGGGGGCGATTGCAAAATTAAAAATTGCCCCTGCGGAATTATACAATAACGATTATTTTTTCTGTTATAATTTTTACACAATATAGAGTTTCAACTTTCAAACCTTAAACCAATGAAATGGAAGTATGGAAGTCAGATTAGTATGCAGGATTTCTCGCTCGAACTTAAACTCCGTTGGGGGGGGGGGGGGGGGGTAAGGTCACCTTTTTTAGATCAGCCATTGGCCTTTTTTTTTTTTGCTCCAAAATACACACATAAAAAAACTGAAGGGGGGGTTCAACCCCAACCCCCCCCCCCCCTGCGTACGCGCCTGACCCTCGCGTTGTGTCGCGTTGACTTGAATGCGACCATTCGCCCATAGCCCCCCTCCCCCCGGTTGTGCCGAAAAGGTGCGTTGGAAGTGTCGCGTTGACTGGAACGCGACCATTCGTCCAAAGCCCCCCCCCCCCCCCGGTTTTGCCGAAAGGGTGCGTTGACTAGTCTTCCACATCAGTCGTTTATAATATAATTGAAGGAATAGAAATTTAAGGCCATTAAAAAAAATAAACATGTTTAGCGTCCCCGCCCGCTTCCTTTTTGGGGGCCGCCTCCTATCTTTTTTTTTTTTTTTTTTAATTTTTTTAATTTTTTTTTAAATTTTTTTTTTAAACTTTTTTTTTTTTTTTTAAAGAAAAAAAACATGAAAAACTGCTTAAATGGCTTTATTTCTGATTTAAAAAAAAAAAAAAAAATTGTCGGCGGCCATCTTGAAAAAAAATAGCCCCGACTGTCAGGGAAAATGTACCGAGCGGCCATTTTGAGCGGCCATTTTGAAATAAAAAATAAAAAATAAAAAGGGCCTCCTCCTTCCTATTTTTCGAAAAAACAGGATGCTAAACATGTTTTTTTTTTTATTTGGCCTAAGTCGTATAAATTCAAATAATCAAAATAGAAACAGATAAAAATTAAATAAAAGTAGGATTTACATAGTCTTGCAGATCAGGCGTTATAAGAATTAAATCAATAAATAACAACAAACACAATCAAATAATTTACTTTTATATTTAAAAATGTCAAATAAAGGTGGTTAACTAGTCTTGCATATCAGTCATTTATTTATTAAAAACAAAAATTATTTGACATTTTTGAATATGTATTGAATTTGTTATAAGCACCTGATTTGCAAGACTACCTATAAACTAGTTTAATTTAATTTTTAATCTGTTTCTATTTTGATTATTTCAATTTAAACAACTAAAATTCTATTAAAACTGATGTGGAAGACTAGTCAACGCACCCTTTCGAGAAAAGCCCCTTACGTAAAAATTAGTTTTTATTTAGCTTTAAAAATGACGACTCAGAAGTCTTACTCAGAACGTTCAGAAAAAAGCCCAGTTTCGGCGATGATGACGCATTTTACGTCACTGCAGGCGCCTCTCCGGTGAAAAGGAGGGTGATTCAGGCATTCAAATGTCTTTAAGAAGGCAAATTATGATATTAATTGGAGAAAAAAAAAGAGACATTTATCCGAAAAATAATATGCACTTGATAATCCCAGTACGTTTCTGGCAATTTCGTCATTCCTAATGCAAGATCCTTAGTTGTAGCAAAAATCGGATATGCCCGCAATGACGTCAAATGCGTCATCAAGGCCACGTGACCGTATTACCTTTTTTCGAGGGGCGTAGCCCAGCAAGCGTGAGAACTGTGAAAAATGGATGGTTATCATCTTTTGTCAATTTAGAGATTTTCTGAAAAATCAGAGGCTGGAATATTAATAAGTAGAGGTGCATTCATGTTTTGAAAGATTATTATTATTATTTGGGCAATTTTTGATTTTGCAATCGCCCCCATGAGCAATCTGAGGGAGGCGATTATTTAGCTCATGGGGCGAATCGTCCGTCGCCCCCGTGTATTTTGAGCCTTAATTACTAGTTACTGTAAGTTAATTGTAACAAGATGTGCATCAAGTTGAAAGTAAACTGGTCCATCTTTGATGTCAGCACTCAGCAGGCACCGTGGTAAGCATTTATAAGTGCCTCACTGAAATAAGTTTATCTCATTATGATGTGTAGTTCATCTTTTGGGCTGTGTTAAATCAACCCTAATAATTTAAACCACAAACTTGTTATTCTTAGTGTTTAATTTCGCATTCTGGTGGAGTCACTTAATAACAATGAGTGTATTATTGGTACACAATGTGCATGAAGGTTATTCCTAAAAAACAATGAATACTGTCAGACGCTATTGAGTGAATGACTGGCATCTTTTTTCGTTGGTAACAACAAACATAAAATGAGCTGTAACAGGTACATGTGCATTTGTCTACAATACATCAATCACCCACTACTTGTACTGGCCAAAATTAAACTGATTGAATCTTTGTGCAGCACAAAACGTACGACCATTCGGTAAAAGGGTCTGAAAATCAGACTATTACTTGGGTGATTGCAATCACTTAAGTCAATTTCACTTTCGTTTTGAGGGAAGTTCTAAATTAAACATGTATTGTCTTTCAAATGCTGTTGGAATTTAACCTTTTCATTTTTGTGGGCCTGCAAATGGGACATACATGACTTGTATTACCTTTAGCTCACTTGACTGTTAAATTCTTAGAAGACTGATACCCAATGTACAAATGTAATGCTGTTATACTTATTTTTCGAATGTTTTGACTTTGTCATTTACAGTTCTTACGGCTTTTAGCAAGAATAAACGTCGACAAGAAGCATAGACTGTTCAAGCCCTTACAAGAAAACATGTGCATTGTTTTGTCGTTCTTCATCTAAGTTGATACATCGAGGCCGACACAATGGCTACTTCTTTGAAGCAGGCTGTCCATAAGAACCTGGAGTGTCCTGTCTGCCTGAGCTTCTTCAAGGACCCCAAGAACCTGACCTGCTCCCATACCTTCTGCAAGGGTTGTCTTGAGACTGTCCTAGCGTCTCATCGGAAGCTGTTATGTCCTACATGTAGGGAGGAGACTTCGGTTCCTGGTGGAGACGTGGGTAGACTGAAACCAAACATAATAGTCCGATCACTTGTTGAAGATGTGGAGACACAGGGCCATTCCAACTGTAATCAAGAAGACAAATCATTGCCCCCAAAATGGAACAAATGTCAAAAGCATCCAACCGACGATGAAGAATGCTTTTGTCTTAACTGTAAGAAGTACGTCTGCTTCAAGTGTGGCATGTTAGAGCATGCAAAGGATGCTCACACTATCCTGGAAGCAGGCGTACATGAAACTGCGCAAAATAATACCATTGAGGAACTTGCATTTAAAGCAGATGCAAAGATACGCAACGTTGACAAGTATGTTACATTCGTCGTAGACCAGCGTAAAAGGGTGCATAACGTACAGAAACAACTTAATGGTGAAATAGATGAGACTTTCGAGGAATCAGTTCAGAAGTTGAAGAGAAGAAAGACGGAGTTGGAAAATGAAGTTGGGCACAAACTAGGTAAACTTGAGACTTCATTGGTAAGCATGGAGGAGTCGGGTCGTACGCAGATAGACGATATTAAGAAGGTTCGGGACGTGGTTAAGAATGGTCTTGATATTCCTCTCCAGACAGCGGCTCTGACCTCACATAAAGCGACATGTCAACAGCTGGAAGAGCTTCTAAGCCGAATTAGGCCAGATGAGGAGCTGCCCAGAAGAACTGCTGAGGAAGGTGAACGAATTCGCTTCAGGAGTGTCGGATCGGATGGACTAATGCAGTTGGGTCAGCTAAGACAAAATAAGTCAAAATGGGTTCTGCGCGCGGGAGACCCCCTCCCTGATGGAAATATCACCATGACCGGAATGGCAATATCACCAAACAATGGGATGGCTGTTGGTTGTACCAGGGGAGGAATATTCATATATTCTTCTGAGGGCATCATACAAGATACCGTTCTGAAATCTGTTAAAGTTCTGGACTTAGACTTCATGCCTGATGGTGGATACGTCATACGCAACACTAATAACATAATTTCCTTGTACACAGAGCTTCGTGAAAAGCTTGGTGTAACGTTTGAGACAATGGATGTTGCGAAAGGTGGGCTTGGTGGTCTCACTGTAGGGAAGGACGGGCTAATCTTCGTAGGTTACAGAAAAGTTGACAAAATACAGGTATTTAAGCCAGAAGGTGGGAAGGCAATTAGAGAGATAACGTACAACGGAAATACACTATGGCAGATGTTTGCGATGACATCCAGTCAAGCGATTGTCGTTAAGAGTAGTTGGGATACAGTAGGAATGATCAACGATGTGTCTGGTGCTATTATTCATAGCATTAGCAAACTTAACGCCATCGCTATCCCTGCTGTGTATCAGGATGATTCAGTTATCATCGCATGGGTTAAGAGCGATCAGGGTCTGCTGAGCATCGTTCAGTACACAAAAGAGCTCAAATACATCAAAAACATTCTCACTGATTTCAAGATAATCAAACCTATTCGAGCTTGGTACTATTTGCAAGCATTCAAGACGGGGGAGATTGCTTTCTGCACTTCTGATAGGTTTTACATCTTCCATGAGACATTGGAGTAAATTTCAGTTTTGCAGATGAAAATAAGATTTAAGATTGTTACTAGGTCAAGGGAAAACAAATGCACCGTATCAATACTATCTTCTCTTGCGTGCCATGGTCCCCGTTGTCACAGCTCATAGTCGTCACCAACATACACAAGTTCACCATTCACTCTGACTGCGCTGCTTGATTGTTGGTAGAGTGCTTGAAGTATAATTTAGGTGTATATATTTTGACGAATATCCAAAGAAGTTCATTGCTTTCCACAGACCTTGCTGCCAGACCGAGTCGAATGCCTTTTCGTAATCGATGGAGCAGCATAGGAGACTCTGATTTCTTTCAAGGCGTTTTTCCATCATTTGTCTCAGGATGAACAATAATGGTGGAGCGTCCTGGACAGAATCCAGTTTGTGCTTCGGACAGCACTTCTTCTTTGTTCTTCATGATTCTTTGCTGGATGATGATACTGAACTTTTTCCCTGCATGGCTAAGGAGGCTAATACCCCGGTAGTTTCCACAATTGAGTTTGTCTCTTTCCTGTAGATTGGAGTTATTATGGCCTTTCCCCAGTCAGCCGGAAAAGTTTCTTCCCGCCATATTTTATTGCACAATTTGTGGAGTATGGTGATACCTGTTGACCCAGCAGCTTTGAGTTACTCTCCTGTGATGCTGTCAAATCCAGGTGCTTTCTCTTTTGCGAGTTTCCGAACAGCGTATTCTACTTCATCTCGCAGAATGTCTTGAACTAGGTCGAGGCTGGTCATCTGAGGTATGTTAGTAGCTTCTCCATTTGTTTGGTTCTGGTTATTGTACAGTTCTTCAAAGCTTACTTTCCATCTCTATTTCATGTCTTTCATCTCGGTAAAGATTTCTCCATCTTTGCTTTTCACTGCCTGCTTTCCGATGTTAGATTTCTTGGTGATTTGTTTAATTGTTGTATAGACTGCGTTAGATTTGGTAGCCTGACGTGAGGTTCACACTTTTGTGCACAGATCTCGTATCCATTTGTTTTTGCAGCCTTTTGTTTTCCTTTGTATTTCTCTGATAAGGAAGTTGTATCTCAGTCTTTTATTTGGGTCTCTTTATTCATCTTATTTAGCTTCCTTTCTCTCCTAACTTCACTCCTCTCCTAGCCACCCTGGTCTGTTTGTCCCTGTTGTACGAGTCAACAGGTTAACCGTCTCCGCCACGAGAAGGTTGACCAGGACGATTATCCGTACTCTCACAAGTCGGTCATATAACCCTCACATTTTGCTTGTTACAGCAGTTTGCTACCCGGGATGTCTCATACTTGTATGGTCCACCAAATTTGTTACAAAATGGTAAGATAGTAGGCCCTACAGACTTTTAGGGGGGGGGGGGACTCTATTTGTACTATTAAATTATTTTTCTCAAAATATTACAATGTATCTGATTATGCAAGGTACAATATGCAAATTGTCCATGTTTGTTTACTTAACTCATGTATTGGTAATGGTTATGAAGGCACAATTCTATTTTTATTTCTTTGTGTATTTGTTTCAAGGACACTTTTATAATTTAGGACATCATTTAATTTTATATATCCATCGTTGTTCACTGGAACGATGCGTATCAATTGTGAACTGAATGAACTTACTTAAGGTCCTTTCTCTGCATAATCCCTAATTTTCGTACCTAATATCTTTTTGCTTATAATGCATCTTTAATTCATTTATTCGTTAATTCATTTATTCATTTATTCATTCATTTGTTTAGGTTCCTTGAATGAAATTTCTTTGTAAATCAGTCCAAAGACTGATACATTCAAAAATGTACATAGTTGCATAGTTAAAAATTATATAAAGATGACAATACATTCTCCAAAGGAATACAAGGTACAAAAAATTAGAAATGAAAAAGAATTGTTATTATTATTATTATTATTATTAATATTATTATTATTATTATTATTTATATTACTATTATTATTATTATTATTATTAACAATGGAAATTCGTTGTGTTACATGGTATGGCGATACACATATATAACATTTTACAAGTATCGATAATGTATTGCATTATTATCATTGCTATTATAGTCTGATTATTATTATTATTAACAATGGAAATTCGTTGTGTTACATGGTATTGCGATACAATACATATATATATATATATATATATATAACATTTTATAACTAGAACTTGAACTTGAGCTTGATTATAATAGTTATTATGATTATTATTAATAATGGTAGGGAAGGCATAATTTTATTTTAATATCTTTATCTGTGTTTTTTTTCAAGGACATTTTTATAATTCATAATAGTTCAACATTATAAGACATCAATGATTCTTATATAGGACTACCCATAGTTGTTTACTAGAACTATGCGTACAAAACGTGAACTGAGTGCACTTACTTTCTCTGTACAATCCTTATTCCCGTACCTTCCTCTGTCTTTCTTTGCTTCTTATGCATTTATAATTCATTTATAATTCATTTAGGTTTATTGAGGAAATTTTCTTGTAAATCAGTTCAAAGACTGATACGTACAGAATTTACATAATTCCATTGTTCAAAATTATATATAGAATACAAAATATCCACCAAAATTGACAAGGAACAAAAATTGGGATTATAAATGAAAAATAATTGTTTAATATATTGCACCACGAATTGATAATAAACATAAACAAATATTTCCAATTATAAAGAGAGAAAATGATAAATGAGAATCGACAAGTAGGGAAAGACGACAGAGAGAAGAGAGAGGAAGAGAAGGGATCTATTGAAAAAAGTAAAATTGAAGAGTGCCATTTTCATTTGTACATGGTTTACATTTGAATCCTATAGTATATGCGACTAAATGATTAGCTTTTGATTATTGGGCATATATATATATAGTTACTTATACATATATAAATGCCTGAACTATGTCAGTTGAAAGGTAAACAAAGTGAACATGACAGTGAAATAAATACCAATGATATAGCTTGAAACTATACATCATGTCTTGCATCGGTACACTATACTATAGATAAATTAAACTATTTTTGTAAAGCACATAGAGACATACCTGTATGTTATTTGCTATAAAAGCATGATTATATTATTATGAAATGATGTCAGTTATCGTGTTCCCTCAAATTTTGTTACATATTTCATGTTCAATTCAATTATATTTTCTTAGAGGGGATAGAATAAAAAAAAGTATGAATTACGCCACTAATATTTCCAGAAGTTCTTTCTTTAGTGTCATTTGTGTGAGAGAGAAAAATCCAAAAGAAGTGAAAGACCGAGTTAGAATCAAAAGTATTGACTTTAGAGAATTCATGCAGGAGGTAAATGGAAACTTTTGTGGACGATATTCGTATAATATGTCAGCAGTTATAACGGCACGCGTGAAAGTCAGCACTCATAAAGAAATATATACAACACAAGAAACTAGAGGACCATTTTTGCCATGACAAAGTATGAGTAGAGACTGTCCTTACTCCAGCTCACGACGTCAAACTGTCTTAATCATTCTTTACATAATACCGACAGACTCGTTTTCGAGTTTTCATCATGTAAAAAAAAAAAAAAAAGTAAAAATACAGCATCATCTTTTTCTTTCAAATCAAAAGGACCGTCAACATGGAACTCTCTTCCTCATTATATTAAAACAATTTCGTTTCTTAATTATTTTAAATCAAAACTTAAGGGTTTTTTATTCACATACTCTACAAAATAATTAATCCATCCTAACTCTTTTAACTTTTATAACTTTTAAACTTTTTTAACTTTTAAACTCTTTTTTTGCCATAATGTCACTATGCTTTTCTAATTCAGTAAAATTTTTGGTATTTTAATAAGCTGGGAATTGCCTCGACAGAACCTTTATTTGGTTCTTTTGCAATTTCCATTTCATGTTCATTATCTATTTCCTTGATTTCTTACTCTTGTCTTTACTTCTCTTTTTAATTGTGTGTTTAAATTTCAATGTATACTGTGTATCCTACATGTAAATATGTTGTCAATGTACAATGTTTTTCAATGTACTTTTTTTAAATGGACTTGAATAAAATCAAATTGAATTGAATTGAATTGAAATACAAAGTCCATTTAAACTCAATCTGCTTGTTTTCTCTTTGTAGTTGACAAAAGAATTTAACTTTCCCTACTCTGGCAAATATTTTCAAGGAAGTCGGTTATTTCCCCTTCATGATGTGTTTATTTGTAATATCAATAAAGTTTAATGTTTTCAGCATACTAGTATAAACAATGATGATAATGATAATATTGATGAACATGATAATAATGATATTATTAATAATAATTACAATGCTGATAATAATAATGATGAGAAAGATAATGATTTAAACGTATAATAATGAAAATGATAATGATAATAACAATGATGATAGTAATAGCAGCACTTAAAGTGAAATCCAGCTTTAAAAGCAAACTAAGATAATACATTGTAAAAAGCAGAACATTCAGAGAACCACACTGCTTAAAGTTTGAAAGTAGAGTAAGGGAACTTTAAATTGGCTGAATCGGTAATGTTACTGTGATTTAGCCGAACAACTTCCCATTTGTTCCAACAAACAAACTGTCTAAATGTGTTGTTTTTTCTCTCAAAAGATAGGACTTGAGAGTGTCTCTTCTCTCTAGAGGAGATCATTATGATATCTTGCTATCCATAATATATTTATAGTAGTACGTGCCCCAAGGAGGAAGGGACTTTCAGGTTTGGAGAAAAAACAGAAATTAATTATCTTTTATTACATGGCAAACGGAGGAGTTATCCGTGAGTACGTCACAATCCACTGACCAAATCGCCAATTTGAGATTCACATAGCTTTAGGGATCTCATATTTCGAACTTTCTTATTATTGGTCAGGTTTATTTCAAGTTTCGCCAATCTGTTTCTCTGATTTGTTTTTGCTATCATATAAATGAACTTATAGTGTGGTACGGTATGTCACTGAAACAGCTCCCGTAGGATATTTTGTGCCAAAGTTGATTTTTTTTTTGTTGCATTTTTGGATTCATTGGGGTCCAAGCTATCAGAAATTGATGGGGTTCAAATTTTCCCGAAGACATCAAATTTCCCTATTGCGCGTTATATAAGCCATTTTGGTGCCCAATATGGACCCCCATGGAATGAAGGAGGGGTCTGAAAATTTGAACCCCATCGTTTTTGGCCAATTGGGACCCTTTTGAAGCCAAAACAGCAACAAAAAAATAAAATCAACTTTGGCACAAAAATCCTACGGGATTACCATACCGCACTATTATTACGAAGATTGGATTGCCCTTTAATATCATGTTTCTTTGCGCATAGTCCTGTATGGATCCTAACAAACAGTTACCAGAAAGAGGAAGTTTTCCAGAGAGAGGAGAGAGGAAGATGAAATGTAATGAAAGTGGAATGCTCAGTACCAGTGTCGTAGCGTGGGCTAAGTCATGGGGGGGGGGGGGGGGGCATCGGTCTTTAGTTGTCTAGATCAGTGTTTTACAACTGTTTTTTTTTGGGGGGGGCTGTCGTGACTGCATACTCTCGCGGATTCTAAACTTCGGGTTTCACTTACTTAACATTATTCCATTATTTATTTTTATATATTACCTAATTCCTTCATGGCACCCCAATAGATGTCTTGCGGCACCCCTGTTGAAAAATGCTGTACTAGATGGTCAAAATTAGAGGGGGCAGATTGACCAGGTCGGGAGGGGTTATACTCCTTGCCCCTCTAGAAGCGGAAAAAAGTTACACAAAAACATACACACACACACACACACTCTCTTTCTCTCTCTCTCTTTCTCTTTCTATTTATATATATCTCTCTCTCTCTTTCCGTCTCCTTTCTTTAATATATGTCTTCTTTCTTTCACCACTTCTGTCCTTATTTCTCTTTCTTCTCTGCTGTACACATCATCAAGGATGCAAATCTGATCACCTCAACACATTTTTCGATAATTTGACAAACAATATGTATTACCAAGGAGATGTGTTTTTACAGCAAACATCTAACTGTTATCATTGATTTGATTTGATTTGATTTATTTATTTCTGTTTGATTTTCTTTTTCTTTTGCATTTTTACAAATATATAACAAACAAATGTTGCAAATTTACACATGACAAAAGAATATATGTAGAATAAGGTAAGGCTGGGTGTAACTAATCGAGAACATCAAACAGGAGGGTTGACAAAATAAGCAAAGCTTGATAGTATGACTACCCTCAAAGGATACATAATAATACAAATATGGAAGAACAAAATATTGGTAAAAAGGGGGAAAAGACAGAAAAAAGAAGAGAAAAGAAAGAGGGGATGCACATCAATATTCACAGACTTATGTGGTAGTTGGATTTCAAATGGATATATAAAGATTTTAAATAAGAAAAGAAATGCAAATTTGAATACTGAGTGGCCAACTTGGGATACAATAGAATGAGAAGACTCTCAAGGTTCGGACAGTAAGAATGTGAAAGTAAGATCAGCCAGCTGGTTTTAAACCTGGGCCTGCGAGTCAGAGCCTTGAAATGTTTGTATAGAAGACAGTGTTTATTCAGTATCCCAAGTAGGCCACTCTTTATTCATACGTGTATTCATACCAGGTCATGGAAGGTTATAATCAACGTTTCAATAAATGGAAGCAAAAAAAAAGTATACAGTACAGAAAAGTATCGAGTTTTGTAACGATGGGTAAACGAGGAGAATTTATTTTGTTGATGGATTTAAAGATAATGAGCAATAAGAAACTTTTTCACCGCTCTTTTAAAGGATGGCATTGTATTCATCGTTTTTATTTCAGGGGGTAGTGCATTCCAGGTATCAGGGCCAGAATGTCTAATTGAGTTTTGAGCTAAGGCTGTTTTGACGTTAAATAGGTGATAGTCATTGGAATG